TCATCTGCAAACTTGCTGAGGGTGCAGTCCATGCCATCCTCCAGATCATTAATGAAGATATTGAAAAAAACCAGCCCCAGGACCGACCCTTGGGGCACTCTGCTTGATACCGGCTGCCAACTAGACATGGAGCCATTGATCACTACCCATTGAGCCCGATGATCTAGCCAGCTTTCTATCCACCTTATAGTCCATTCATCCAGCCCATACTTCTTTAACTTGCCGGCAAGAATACTGTGGGACAATAAGTCCTAGGGGGGCACTAGGAAGTCCTGCACCCTCCTACAGGGAGCTTATAAACCAGGGGTGGCCAAACTGTGGCTCATGAGTCACATGCAGCTCTTTTATAGATAAAGTGCGGCTCTAGGCACTGCCCCCCATGCCCTCTGCCTACCAGACTGGGGAGAGCTCGCGGCTTCTGCCCTCCGGTGAGATCGTGGAGCTAGGTGCTTCTGCCAGAGAAGACTGGTGCTTGCTGTGAGTGGGGGGCACAATTTAAAGGTTCAGCACCACGAACAGCTTGAGTCATACCCCCCCCCCCCAGGCACACTCCCTCTCTTTCTCTCAGCAGCCCTTCCCTGCAGCTCCAGGTGTTAGCTCTGCCTGGAGAGGCAGCGGCAAACAGCTGGGAGCTGCAGGGAGGGGCTGCTGCGTTAGTTCCCTGGCAAGAGGCAGCGGCTCTCCTTACAGTTCCCAGCTGTTTGCTGCTGCCTCTCCCCACAACTGCAGTTCCCAGCTCGCTGGCTCCAGCAGCTACCATGCAGGGATGGGGCCTGGCGGCACCATGTGACCGAGACAGCAAACCCTGGCAAAAATGGGGGGCATGTGATCCAGGTGCCTTCCCCCATGCATCGCCTCTGGCAGTGGGGAGAGGGGGGGTCTCGGGGCTTCAGCCCCGGCTCTCGAACTTCTGAAGATTGTCATATGTGGCTCGGAGGGTCAGTAAGTTTGGCCACTCCTGTTATAAACACATGAATGGATCAGGTGTCTTCCATCTGGTAGTGGAGCCCTACATTTTCTAAAGTGTCTAGTGATTTTGGGCGCACAACTTGAGAGATCTTAAAGAGACTAATTTTGAAAGTGCTGGTACTTAACACCCTCTGAAAATCAGGTCCCTTTGAGGTAGCTCAAGTTAAGTGCCCAAAATCGCTGGACTAGATTGAATAGTACATCAGAACCTGACCCTAAACATTTAAACCTGTCCATGTACAAGTGCTTATGGGTCACTGCAAAGATTCACAGTTCCACAGAGAAATGGATTCTTCTGCCTCCCCTCCTCCACATCCCCTGCCCTTTCTGTATAAAAGCAGAGAGATCTAGAGCCTCAGCTGGTTTCATTGAAGGCAATGAAGGTATGTCAGATCACACCAGCTGTCTCCATTGGCTTCAATTACACCCATTAAGGAAATGGCCCCAAGTGTGTCTTCTGAACATTTGTTCTGAGTAGGCAAAAAGTTTGGAAGCCATTGGTGTTTGCAGCTGGCTCAGTCATACGTAAAAGTGTCCTGGCTGATATTCAAATTGTGCTGCTCTCTGAAACCTGTTGGTCCTGGTGTTTAATGTATTTTCCTGTGTTTGTCTTGAGTGCTTTATGTTACTCTCATTTGGATTTCCAGGGAATGCAGATCATGTGATACTTGCTGATGTTTGAAATAAGCCAGTGGCAAAAGAAGAAAGGAAAATATCAAAGTTTGCTTGTACCTTTGCAGGCACTGCAGTAACGCAGCATGAGAATCTGTTGAGCCTGATTCAAACCAGACTTCAAAATGGGCTTTTGACTCTAGCCTGCTACTCAGGTTCAATCAATACCTTTTGATATTGTCCTGTTGCAGAAGACTCAAGATAGATTTTACTGTTTGGAAAAATCTTCTTACATTCTTGATAGTCCATGTGCTGTAATTTCTTTACCTTTAAAGTGCCATGCTCAAGGGGAGTGTGCTAATTTTCCTTGGCTCGAATCAAATTTATTTTGTACGGGATATTGGCCAGATTGCTAATTCGGAGAAACTACACAGGTAGCACTACTGTCAGCTCTGTGCATTGTCTGTCAGGACTTCTTCTCTTCACTCTGCTTTAGCAAGTACTATTGATTCCATTACTAAATTGAATCCTGCTTGTTTAATTCCATTTCATTTCACTGGAGGGGAAAGAGAAATAATTACAGCTAAGGAGCCAGGCACCAGGTTTTTTGAGTTATTATTTTTTATTATCAAACGCGCATGGCACCTACAAATGTGCTAGACAATTTAAAGGGTTATGAAGAAAAGGGGCCTGATTCTCAGTGACGCTAAGACTCATTCCTAACCACGCGGTCAATGTGAAAGGGGCCTCAGTATCAGTCAGAATCTGCCTCAGAAGAAGAATTTACCCATAAATGGAGATTTTCAATGCTACCTAAAGGATTATGATGCCCAGTTCCCATTCATTTTAATGTGATGGATGTCCAAATCCCTGCAGTTCTCAAACTATGGGGTGGACCTCCCAAGGGAGGCAAGGGAATGTGTCCAAAAAACTCTGGCTGTCAGCCCCAGGTGGCTGGGGCTCAGGCAGAAGGGCCATGCACACCTAGGAGGCAGAGATAAAGGGGACAGCTGGAGCCCTGCCATCCCCCCCACACCAATTCCTCACCAAGAGGCAGCCAGGGCTCTCCTCCCCGCCCCATTCCCTCACCAGGAAGTGGTGGAGTTTTGGCTATCAGCCCCCAGGTTGGCAGCAGCCGCAGCGCAGAAGTAAGGGTGGCAATGGGGCGCTAAGTCTGCTGTGAAAAGTGATATTGACTTTTCACATTGCATCCCTTACTTCTGTGCTGCTGCTGGCACGGTGCTGCCTTCAGAGCTGGGCACCCAGCCAGCAGCCACAGCCTCTGCTCTGCCTTCAGAGCTGGATGGCCGTATATGTGCTTATGGAGGAGGAAGAGCCACAAAAGACTACAAACACAAAGAAGGGGGGGCGGGGGCTGATCAAATACGATTGAGAACCGCTCCCTTAGATGGATTTGAATGTTTCAACCACAATGTCCAAATACAAGAAGGGAGCTGGGAAGCAATGCAAAGCCCCACGTGTGATTGAATGGGGATGTTTAGCACATGCCTCCTTCGTTCCACAATTTCCTGGTTTGTTTTCTAGTAAATATTTTCAAACATCTGCATAGCTAAAAATTCTTTGAGGCAAGGCTTAATACCTGTCCTAGGAAATGTGTTTTAAAGGGAGGCGTTAAGAAATTGTGGCATGAGAGACAAGGAGAGAGATGGCTTCATCTATGTCCCATAGGGGAATGGAGATCTGAGGCCTGATTCTTGTTTACTTCCAGGACCTGTACAATGCCAGAGCCATGTGTGTAAATGAGACTCTGGCCCTGGAGAGTTTATACATTCAGCATACCTTGAATTGTACCTGTCTTTAACCCCAATGTTTCAAACCCCATTGGTGCTTACGCTGAAGTCAATGGAAACTTTGCCAATGACTTCAGTGGGAGCAAGTCCTTAGCTAACATATGTTTACTTTCCTGAGAAGTATGTTTACTTTCCTGAATGATTTATTGGAGTTAGTAGCATGCAAGATATGAGTGTTTCAATAGAAGGGGAGGGACTTTGGAACAAGGTTCTAAAGGTTACGTTATTTGTTTTGTTGAAGGTAGTTTGTAGTTGGCTTCAAGACGGGTGGCTCCAGGCACCAGCGCACCAAGCCTGCCGGTCGCCTTGAGGGCGGCAGTCAGGCTGCCTTCGGCGGCATGCTTGCGGGAGGTCGCCGGTCCCGCAGCTTCGGCGGCAATTGGGTGGCGGGTACGCCGAAGGCGTGGGACCAGCGGACCTCCCGCAGGCGCGCCGCCAAAGGCTGCCTCACTGCCGTGCTTGGGGCGGCAAAATACATAGAGCCGCCCCGGCTTCAAGAGCTGTAGATTTCTATTTTGAATACACATAGTTTGAATGCAAATATTGCCATAGAGATGCCAGCAATTTCTTTCTGGATTATCCTTCTTGTGAATATACTTTACAGGCCACATTCTCTGGTATGCTCCAGCTGCTTTGCACTGCTCCAGTGATGCAAAGCAGCTGTACACCCAGTTTAACTGGCAGACTTAACGGGCTGTATAGCACCTTCATGTCACCAGATCAATACAAATCAGCCCTAGTATATATGTAGTCTTGTTTTGTCTGTTTTTTATCTAATCTGTCTAGATTTTTATACTGCATCAAGGTATCTTGAGTGCCTTACAACAGTACATCAATCTAAGGAATGATCTACCAAATAAAATTGTCGATAACGGTTTCAGTATAATTTGATTAAGAAGTTCATTTAAAACATGAAAACTTTCACAAACATCAAGAATTTTTTCAATTTTTTTTGTTTTGCTTTTGAAAAACAGGCCATTTTTCAACAACAAGCTTATTTGAAATTTTTCAATGAGATGTCTTTACTCTCTAATTAAAGTCACGGAGCCAGAAGGTGGAACAGTGCGAGTTCATGTCAGCTGAGGATCTAGCCCATTGTCTTTGAATCATAATTACCATGAAGGGAAGACAACCACGGTGACAAATGTTTACAGTTTTATTATTGGCATCTTTACATTAATACTGCTGTTTTGTGCTGAGAAAACAATCTGTTACACATAATGTAACTGTTATATATAACATAGAAATGCAGTCTAAGTTAATTACAACAAGAAGCTACAAAAAATTTCATAGGAAAGAAAGTCACCTAACATTGCAACTGTGCTTGCAGCAAATCACTCTCCCACTTCTGAGTCAACACTGCAGAAATATGTGCGCTGTAAACCATGGTTATTTACATGTCCCTTAGAACTGTTAATAACAGAGGCGCTAAAATCAGTCTAAAAAGTTCTAGAACGTCACTATATACTGTACAGTCCTCAAAAATAATTTATTATACGGTTTCTAAAAAAGGTACTAGTTTTGTTTTTTGTTTTTTTCTGGAGTGCACAACATGTGCAAATTTTGTCTAACAGTCTAAAAACTCGAGAACTGAACTGGAAGTCACAATCACAGAGATGAGGTGGTAGAATCTAGGACTTCCCGTCCATTGCAGACTGTCGGAACGTACGTACTAGCAGATGCTGGAAGAGAAAGAAGAAAAAAAAAAAAAAAAACAAAAACAAAATCAAAAAAAAAAAAAAAAAAAAAAAAAACCAACAACAACCATCATTAGCCACCTAGGAAAAAACATTGGGGGCCTGATTCTAATTTACATACAGGTCACTTTACACCTCTCTGGAAGTGAAGCGTAAAGTAGCCTCAGTGTAAATAAAAATCACATCCTTAGATTTTTCTTGTATCTTATATTAGGGCCTGATTCTGTGAGGTGCTGAATGCTGTCCAGCCTCACTAATGTCAATGGGAGAGAAGAGCACTCAGCACCTTACAGGAATAGTTCATTAGCTTGCATTTCCTTCATCCAGTCCATCTTTGCATTAGGTAATGCGTGTCAGCCTACATCTGAATGTAAGGGAAATGGGTTATTTTATATGTTGAATGGAGAAGGGAAAAGCTTTTATTTTAACAATTGTATGAGTTTGCCAACACATTTACTCCCCCTTTGATAATGTTCTGGCCTGGATCCCATTGACTTCCATGAATGCAAGATCAGGACCTCAGGATGTAAAATGTGTCCAGACGTAAGGGCCAGATTATGATACCTTAACTCACATTGAACAGTACTTTTTCTTGACAAGTAGTTCTATTGGCTTCAGTGGAGTTACTCTTGGAGTACGGTGTTACTCAATGTGAATATGGGTGTCAGAATCTGGCCCTTGATGCTTCTGCATCTTGGCAGTGGGATATAGTGTTATCTTGTAAAAGCCCAGGGATTTTAATTTTAAAGCAAACAGTTTTGTCCATCCCAGTTAGAATTGTCCATTCGGCATCAAGAATGTGTTAGCACACAATTTCGTTGATCTGCCAGTTCACAACAAGACAAAGCCGTGTTTGCCAAGATACATTAGGTTAACAATAACAGTGACCCAGAGAAACCTGATGCCTTCATCAAAGGATTTAAAAGAAAAGCACGCATCAAGCATTGATTTTAAACTTGATCACCCGGTGTAAAAGGCAATGTATGGATGATGGATACTGGGTTTCAGACCAAATCAGTAAAGACAGAGCCTTATTTTTAATACAGATGAACTTTGTATGCAGCTACAGAAGACAGCGCTTTACTAAATTGTTATGAAATCAAATTATATGCTCTAACAAATGAAGGGAAGGATGGTCCAATGGTTAGGGTGCTAGCCTGGGGCTTGGGATACCTGGATTTAATTCCCTGTTCTGCCACAGAACTCCGGTGTTACCTTGAGCAAGTCATTTAGTCTCTCTCTGCCTCAGTTCCCCATCTGTAAAATGCGAGCTAATAGCACTGCCTTACTCCACAGAGGTGTTGTGACAAGAAATGCTTGAAAGATTATGAGGTGCTCAGATACTACAATAATTGCGGGCCATATAAGTACCTAAGATAGAAAGATGTGGCGTATGGCAAGAAACAAGATACTTTGCCTCTAGCACCATCTGTTGTGCATTTAGAATAATACGCACCTCTCCTTTAGGAGCGAGAGCAAAATTAATAGCTGTTCCTAAGTTCTGTTAAAGGCAAAATATCTGCTCTGCTGGTCTTCGTAATATCACATTAGTTTTTATAGCAGCAACCAACTGGTTTCCTACATCACCATGGAAATGTACCTGTATTACGCAAGACATTTTAAAGTGACCTGACAGCCTGATTTGTCTGTGGTGCATGTTTTCCCATCCTCTCTCCTCCTCATCTATTTGCTTTGACGTTATTTGTAGTTACTGCCTTGTGTGATAGGATAGTCTGCCCCCTTAAGGCCAGCAGTGCCTAGTGGTCAGCCCATCCCCGTCTCATGGTGTGTTCCTTTAAGATTTTTGGAAGTTCTGATATATGTACAGAGACTGAGGAAATATTGATAGAGAGAAAGAAGTGTTAGGAATAAGGGGTGCTTAGGAGGAAATCCTGTCGCTGTGTCTTTAAGGGCCTGGGACCAGGAAGGCATAGAGGGGCCGGGCAAGACTTGCCTCTCACCCAGCCAACGGGGGATGAGCTGGGAGAAGGGGCCAACATAAATGCTGGCACACATCGGCAGGAGAAGGCTGGCCTACTGATCTGCTGTGGGCTAATCATGGAAAAAGGCCAGCTGAAGGAGAAGCAGGCTAAGGCCCTACAGCTGGCTAAATTACAACCACGGGGGAGAGCTGGGGACTCCTGTTTTGAGGTAGTGACCATCTGAAGCATGGTCCCAGCTCCAGGAAGGGAGCTGGGGGGTCTTCTGAACAGGGATGAGAGTTGGCCAGGACTCTCATATGGACCCAGAGAGGAGTGACCTCGAGTGACTAACGAAGCGAGTTACATTCTGTAGAACGACTTAAGTCAGGCCCCACACAGGGGGTATGTGTTTTGAAACAAGCTAAGTCTGGGTAACTGACTGAGAGAACCTGAGGACTGCTGAGTGCAAGGCCAAGAGGGGCCACCAGGGGGTGAGCTGGAGGGCAGCACCCTGTGACATCATGGCACATCAAATGTCACTGCATTGTTTCTTTGCTTGCTGCTTTCATCTGCTTTCTCCTTTATCTCCTTTACAACAGCACAATAGACACACCTGACTGCTGCTTATGTACAGTGAGACGTGGGGTCAGCTAGGAGAAGCTAATTTGTGTAAGTCTTTTGACGCCCGGTTGTGGATCTAAAAGCATCCAGCAGACATAGAAATGAGTGTTGTGAAATGAATTACTGAAGGATGTGTTAATATGTAAGCCTGCTTGTTAGCCTGAGATAGAATTTTGGGTTCGATTTTTTTTTTTAATATACTCTTTTATCCTTACTAATATGTGTGAACACAGAGACTGTGTGTTGCATTTCCCACAACCAGATGGGTTTGTTCGTATAATGAGAAAAGATCAAGGATAGAGCTAAAGTGTTACCGGGTATGGTGGGAGAGTAATATACGAGTATATGCTGGAAGGCTGCCTGGCTCCTCTCTCAAGTCAAGGTCAAGCAACAAGTTGGGAGGGGCAAGGGGAATGGGGGGGGAAGGTATTAGAAACTCTAAAAGCCAAAGGTCTGGCCTTGGCCTTACCACTCCCATGGGATACAAAAGGGGTGGTACCAAGCCTCCAGACTCACAACCCTCCAAAATGGAACATGACCATAAATTGTAAGGGATGGGACCAGGGGTGTGCATTGCAGGTATATTTGGGCCTGCTAAGGAGGAGGTGGGAATAGGGACATAGGGAAAAGGCTCTGTGGCATCAGAGCTCTGGATATGCTTGCTTGAAACTAAACTCCCCCCCAATAAACATCGCATTGCCTGCACTTCAGATTTCTGGTCTTCTGCTTTCTGTCTGCGTGACAAGAACCAGGGGAGGGGTGAGGGGAAAGCCCCTAGCAGGACGCCCAGTTAGCGCTCCATACACATAAAGAGAAAAAAGTAGCATAGAATTGGCATCCAAGAACCAGAGTTAAGAAGTCAGAGCTCAGCTCCCATTTGGCACCTAAACCAATGAGAGCAGCTGGCTAGTGAAAAATCTAGTCAATGTATTTAGGTCCCAAATAAGAGCTGAGACCTTTTGAACACCTGACCTGTAATAATCTCTTGGACACACACTCCCTTCTTCAAGCCTTGGGTGAGTCTCTCAACCCGTCTCTCGCTTTTCTCTTGTGTAAAACGAGGATCTTGGAGTCATCGTGGATAGTTCTCTGAAGATGTCCGCGCAGTGTGCAGCGGCAGTCAAAAAAGCAAACAGGATGTTAGGAATCATTAAAAAAGGGATCGAGAATAAGATGGAGAATATCTTATTGCCCTTATATAAATCCATGGTACACCCACATCTTGAATACTGCGTAAAGATGTGGTCTCCTCATCTCGAAAAAGCTATATTGGCATTAGAAAAGGTTCAGAGAAGGAAAATTAAAATGATTAGGGGTTTGGAACGGGTCCCATATGAGGAGAGATTAAAGAGGCTAGGACTTTTCAGCTTGGAAAAGAGGAGACTAAGGGGGGATATGATAGAGGTATATAAACTTATGAGTGGTGTGCAGAAAGTGAATAAGGAAAAGTTATTTACTTGTTCCCATAATAAAGAACTAGGGGCCACCAAATGAAATGAATGGGCAGCAGGTTTAAAATAAATAAAAGGAAGTTCTTCTTCACACAGTGCACAATCAACCTGTGGAACTCCTTGCCTGAGGAGGTTGTGAAGGCTAGGACTATAACAGGGTTTAAAAGAGAACTAGACAAATTCATGGAGGTTAAGTCCATTAATGGCTATTAGCCAGGACTGGTAAGGAATGGTGTCCCTAGCCTCTGTTTGTCAGAGGGTGGAGATGGATGGGCAGGAGAGAGATCACTTGATCATTACCTGTTAGGTTCACTCCCTCTGGGGCACCTGGCATTGGCCACTGTCAACAGACAGGATACTGGGCTGGATGGACCTTTGGTCTGACACAGTATGGCCATTCTTATGTTCTTACAGGAGTACTTGTGTACCTGCTTTGCTGAGGTGTTAGGAAGAGAAAAGATGTAGTGCGATGTAAGTGATATATATAATTTACAAACTCCTTTATTTTTGCTGAACTGATATACTTTTTCTTTGGAAAACAATCCAAGAACTGGTTGTCAGCAGCTAAGTCAATTTCTGCTGACTTCCTGTGTTTGCTTCCTACGTGTGTGTGTATGTATGTATATGCCTCCTTAACTTTGACACCTCTCTCGGGAGAAATGACTTTAGAAAGGCCCTTGATTATTCTGATGAAATGTTGGCTAAGTGCTTAAAGGCTACCGGTTCTCTGCTGAGATCTTCCAAGGTTTGCAAAATCATCATGAGGACCTCAGGAGTGATTTGCAATATTTCATGTTGCAAATACCATTTTAAAAATAGTGGATATGTTTTCTCAACTGTTATTTTTTTCTTGGAAGGACACACCATTGGAGCAGAGGAATATCCTTCCAGGGGGATAAACAGGTGCTTAGGAGCTTGTGATGGGGTGTACTTGCCCCTCACTGGACAAGAAGGGGTTAACCCCACACCCTGGGCAGAGGAAGCCATGCCCCCTCACTCCTACTGGACATGCTCCAAGTGCTGGCTCAGTATAAAAGGGAGCAGCCCAGCTCATTCTAGGCTGATTGCCGGAGAGGAAGGACGCATGCTGCTTGCTCCAGTCTGGGAGCAGCTGAAGCAGCAGACGGTGGGAGCTGGTGATACTGAGACCCAGGCAGATGCCCAGATACCTGTGGAGGCCGGAGTCACTTGAGGGTAGTGCAACCTGAGGAAACCGGATACCCTGAAGATGTCCAGGTCACAGCATCAGGGGGTACGGTAGGAAGAAGCCCAGGGAAACTAGGCAGTGGCCCGGTTAGCAAACCGGGTTTTGAGTCAGCGTTTTTCAGCCGGATCCCTGCCGACACAGTGGCATGCACACTTACCACTACCAGGGCCCTGAGCTGGGACCCGGTGGAGAGGGAGGGCCCAGGTTCCTGTACCCCAGCTCCTCTCTTTCCACCCATGGGTGGCCCACTTCCCTGACTCTGACCATTAGGCAACATAACCCCGCTAAGGAGGGAAACCTTATTTCCTCTGGCCACTAGGCCATGCAGCCCGAGTGAGAGGGTGATTGCATTGGCTCTGGCCACTAGACCACACAACCGGATTGAAGAGGTCAGCCATGTTGACTGTGGCCGCTAGGCCATACAGCCCGAGTGAGCAGGTGATTATATTGACTTCAGCCATTAGGCTGTACTGCCCCGATGACAAAAGTGACCATATTGACTCTGGCCATTGGGCCGTATTGCCGAGGCTAAGGGCAGACAGGCGGACTTGACCGTGGGGCCATGATGCTCTTGCCTCGGCAAAGGGGGATGGGGTGTACTTTCTGCATGACAGAGCTCTACAAGAGTAGAACCTTGGATGCAGCAGCATGAGAAGTAAAATAAAGGGTTGACTCAGTTTTGGGGGACACAGGGAGAGGTGTTTGCATTACATACATATTCCAGACTGCAATGGAGCACTGCTCCTGTTAGGCAGCTGCTATTCCCTGCTGCATAGCTTCTACCACATCCTCATGAAAGCCAACCTCTATGCTCTCCCAAACACAGTGCTTCATCCCTCACTGTCCCCTTCCCTTTCAGAGGAGGCCTGCAGTGGCAGGTTGCCCCCGTTCTTCCTGTCCTGAATAATGAAGAGTCCAATCCAGTCCTATTAAGGGCATCAACCTGAGAACCGCTCACATGAGCTCCCCTTTTTAGGGCAAACACAGCAAACCACATCTACTGAGAGAAGGAAGGCCAAATGATTGGTTGGACCAACTGAGAAGCTGGCAGGAAAATATCCATTTGGATGGACTTATGCAGTGCCTTAACCAAAAAGCAAATTATCTGGGGTGGAGGAGTTGTACTGGTGGCTTAGAGCATTATGGGCCTGATGCCATGCCCACTGCTGTGACTGGGGCTTTCCCCATTGAATTGAACAAGTTTTGGATCCTGGCTCAGGTGACAGCACTTTCCAGGTCCTCCCAAGGTTTGCCAAGGTCCTTCATATTCCAGTTTTGAGGCCATCTTTTCATATCAGAAAGGGCAAGGATGAAGTTTTTGCTCTGATGTTGCACTTTACCTTTGAGACTTAAAAGATTTTTAGAATGAGTGTTCTTCATGCGGTTATAGACGGGACAAAAAATGCAGGATAACCTGTTTCAGTTGAATACGGTAGCATCTTTGTGTTATACAAAGGTGTAATAAGGAGAAGAGTGTCAGACGCCCCTCATGAAAACACCAGTCCCAAATACTGGCTTTCTTTTATTCTGTATCCATTACAAAGAAACAGAGCATACTCCAGGGTGAAATAATTGCAGAAATGTTTCCTTAAATAGAAACAGCCTCTTAACCATCTCAGATACAAAATATGATGTAAAAATGCAAAGACCAATTTTCAAACACCATCAGCACACAACAGCTCCCATTTAGGCATCTTGATAAGTGGTCAGATTTCCAAATGTGCGGAGCTCCGGGGCCAGAAGCTCTTGAAAATCTGCCCCTAGCTGAGAGTGCTGAGCACTTCTGAAATGTTTGCCAGCCTGACCTATCTAGTTCATCAAAGTTTTCCAAAGTAATTAGTGATTTTTGGGTACCTCCGTTTTTTGGGGGTGGGACAATTGGAGACACCTTAAAGGGCCTGGTTTTCAGAGTGGATTCATAGATTCATAGACTCTAGGACTGGAAGGGACCTCAAGAGGTCATCGAGTCCAGTCCCCTGCCCTCATGGCAGGATGCTCAGCTATTTTGAGTTGTCTCAAGTTGGCCATCCCAAAATTGAGGCAACTAACAACCACTAATCACTTTTGAAAATTTAGAGCATATTGTAAAGCCCAGTGAATGGTTCATAGTTAATAGCCTTACAAACCTTCTCTTTTTCCTCCGCAATCCCCCCTCCCGCTCTGGGATGTTGTGCTCCTTCAATCGGTTTTCCAGGTTAGACATTATGTCTGCTTTACTCTGTGAATGAGGTGCCGTTTGCTTGCATCCTTGACTAGTTAAGCTTGACAAGGGAAAAACAAAAATAAAGCTGACCTCTTTTTTCCTAGCCAAAAACAGCAGCAACTGATAAAATCCCAAATATGTGAATCTGACTGGGAATAAGAGACTGAGATGGGAAAAGCAGATGTACTGCATTTTGCACTGATGCATCGATTGATATCCCAGGTTGTGACACTTGTGTGGGGTACAACACACACTGGATATACAGAAGCAGTTTTTGCTGTCCCTTATGTGCATTGTAGGGGAATTAGCTGAAGTGGTTTGACTCAAAGGATTTTCTTGAAACCCAGGTAATAACAGCCATTGAGAATGTGCTGCATGGGGGACCAAGTCCTGCCATAATGTTGTTCTGACAGGAAGACTCCAGGGCAATCTGCTCTGCCTGTTATGAGAGGGACAGGAACCGTGGTTCTGCAGGCACTGTGCAATTAGGGGCATGATCCAAAGCCCACTGTATTCAGTGGAAGTGTTTTTTTCATTGACTCCAATGGGCTTTGGATCAGGCCAGCTGCGAGCAGAACACATGTGCAGTGAACAACGGTTGTTTTGTTCTCACTGGACCTGAGTGATGTATTCGTGGTGGTTCATAGCCAATGAACCAGGTGAATGCAAAAATGTCCTGCAGTTCTTAATGATTGCGGATTCCACTACAAATGAAAACTCCCTAGCTCTCCTTTAACACACTTCCTGCACAAGGCATGCCATACATAGGTGACAGATTCTTTACTTACACTGGGAATAAGTGGTTCCGGTCCCACTGACGCTGAACCTGTTGAGATGGAGTCTGTGAGTGACCACGTTCTTCTGTGGCTGGAAGAGGATGATGTGCACTTTGGGCGCGAACAAACAGCCGAGCACAACAAAGCCACTCAGACTGACAGAGATGCACATGGTCGTGGTCTGCACCTAGGAGAGAGTTATTGAAAAGTCAGTGCTTAGCTGTTAAATGCCGGGCAGCGAGGCAGCATGTACCACAAGCCAGACTGCGACCATGGTAGTCACCATGGGAGCTACTTACTGCTGGCGATTTGTTTTTAATTTCTATAGATTCCTTGGTACCAAATTCACAGCTGTCTCTTCAGAAGGTCTAGAAATGAGTGTGGCTTCAGAAAGTACTAATGATATGACTCTGAAACCCCTCTAAAACCCCCAGCTCTGTATCAATGCCTTCTGCAGTTTAGGGTATCAGACAGCACACCCCAGCATTCATGGCACAGTTTGTTACTGCATACTGTAATGCAAATTGTTTATGTATTTCAGCATGCTAAACTCTGAGCCGAATAACACTGAGAGGCAGAAATGCAAAATTCCAGAACAGACATAATACAGCAGTAGGAGGAAACATATCTCAGTCTTGCATCAGCAGGGGTCTAGCCTGGACGATCCATTGACTTGTTCCACCTCTAACTCCCACAACCCTGTGATTCCCAGTGATTTACCTACGGCCTAGATGGTACCCTGCTGATCTGCACATAAGGGGCTGCCTGCTTCAGTGTATGACAGCTAGCCTGGGCACAAGAAGGTTAGTCAGATGCTCTGCAACACTGCATTCCTGCTGCATTCCTGGACAAAGTAGAGCACTTTCCGTAAAGCTTGGGATCTATGTGTGGCAAGAGGCAGGCTGTGCGGGACCAGATTAGGTCCTAAAAGATGGCTGTGCTATGCAGCGAATCCACTTGAAAGTTAATTCAGCCTAAAGCCTCAATCCTGCTAAGCGACAAGCAACCCCTTGCATTCATGAAGAGGGCCACTGACTTCAGTGAGATTTTGGGCAAGCATAAGGGCCTGCTCAAACAGGTCCGTTTGTGAGACTGGGTCTTAAAGCTACATTAATGTAGACACAATTTCTCTGTGCTGTGAAATCCCTTTGTGAGGGGTCCGAAGATTCTGGGGGCAGCAGCCAGCGGGCCAATGTTTGTCCTTACAGCTTCAGGGAGCCATTATCTAATCTTATCTATGTAACAACACTCATCATTGTGATAACTGGGTGCCAGTTCGCTGCCTCAGGTTCAGTTTAGTCTCTTTCCTTCAGAGCAGATTCCTCAATTGAAAGGTAGAATTACACTTTCTCAAATTCCATTACTTAATCTGGATTATTACACAAGTAGGGACAGTTCTGCCTTCAGTTACATCCATGCCAAACCTACAGATTAACACTGCTATGGGGCTCAACTCTCAAAATAAACTTTGTAAGGGAAAAACTAGAGCAGGGGATGGTCTTTGTCATTATACGCAGTGTTGTTTTTGCCATGTTGGTCCCAGGACATTAGAGAGAAAAGGTGGGGGAGGTGATATCTTTTATTGAACCAATTTCTGTTGGTGAAAGAAACAAGTTTAGGAGTTTACACAGAGCTCTTCTTCAGGTCCTTTCTTTGGCTGCTTTATCTCAATCCTGCTAAGGGATCCTGACCAACAGCCATTTGTATCCATGCGGAGGATCGATCTTTCTTTCTTTACTTATCATCATCTTCGTCATTATATGTATTCACAGAGCACCAAGCAGATAGTCAACGGGCAGTATAATTAATGTAATAACATAATAACCCTTTACAAAAGGAGCTTACTTCAAGCTTTGCTCAGTGCATAGTGCTCAGATGCCACATGGCGGGGGAACCACTTAGGAACCCGAATGGACACAGAAAAAACATGAACACCCCGCCACATTTCCATTCATTCCTCTTTCTTTGCTTTCTACTGAGCCAAAGCCCACTAAAGTCAGTGGCAAGACTCCCATTGATTTTAATGCAGTTTGGATCAGACCTTAAGCAAGAAACTACCACACACCTCCTGTCATGAGAGCACAGTAAGCTGAGTGGTAGGACAATTTAACATCTGACTGTGTTAGAACTTATCTAACCCCCAGACTTTTCCCTTCCGGCACATCTCTTGCAGTTGCATCCACTAAGGCTAGGCTAAGATGAATCTTCAGCTGAAAAAAAATGAAATACATTAACTGCTCTAACTCGTGCAAATTTGTGAGTGATTATTTAATAACATCAGGTCATACTGTGCCATCAATTCTGAAGTGGGACTACCTCCCTGAAATCAAAGTGGAACTTTGTGTAAAAATCAATGGTGTGAAATAGCCCTTTCCCCTCTAACATCGGAAAGGACAGTTTGTTTCTTCCCATGGTATTTGTATTAATTAACTGGGTGAATTCTACATTTCATTTTATTTCTTTTTCAGTTTTTAAAATGTGCCCAAATCTCTGCATACATTTCCCAGTAGCCTCCCATTTTTCACCCTTATTCATGCATCCTAAACCAGTTTCAAATATAATATTAAAAGCTCAATCCAGTCACCATTTACTTATTCATTGTTGTTATTATGTCTCCTTGGTTGTTTTTTGTACTAACTTCCCAAATAATAGCTCCTGAGAATGACCCCACCAGCATTGTTTTACAGGAGAATGAGATGAGTAGATTACCGTTTGATTATAGATCACAAAAGCATCACTTATTATGTATAAAATTTTAGTCCATTTAGAAGGATCAGTGACTGGAATTTAAGTGAGATTAACAGTGTTAAAATACCCAGAGTGGGAGCTGCCAAAGCACCTACATTAGAGTTCCATTCACTTAAGTCCCTTTCTGAATTTAAGTCAATGAGACTTGTGCTCCTGACTAACTTTAGGTGCTTTTGGAAATCCCACTGCCAAAACCGAGTTAAATTCAATGGAGCTTTTGCACCCAAATCCCCAGAGTTCCTTTCACATCCCAGCAATAGATAATAGAGTTGGAAAATATCACTTGAGTCATCTCGTCCTACAAGCACGTTGTAGGACTACTCTCTCTAGCATACCCACTAATGTCTCATTTTATCTGTCCCCACCCATTGAACACTTTGTGTCCACCTCACTACCCAATTGCTTTTAGTGTTAAGAACGTTTCCCCAATGCCTATCTTTCCCTTCATTAGCTGCATGCCATTTCTCCTTGCCGTAACTTCTAGTGAGACTAAATAATCCCTTTCTTGTTACCTTGAAGTTATTTATAGACTGTAATCATGTCTCCCTGGGTCTTCTCTTGTCTAAACTAGACACATTTAGCTCTCTTAGTTTCACTCTGTGTGACTTTTGTTATCCATCTTTGTATTGTCTCTAGTCTTTCTATATCTTTCCTAGGCTAAGGAGACGGGAACTACACATAATATTCTTGGTCTGGCCCCACCAAGGCTGAGTTGAGTGCAGCCAGGTGAACATTTTTTGACTACACTTCCTGTTGAAAAATGCTGTTTTGTCAAAAACAAAATGTTTTGCGGAAACATGTTGATTTTGACGGCAAGGTTATACAGGTCCAGGAGGGAATCTCTGGAGATAGATAAAAGACCCAACCCCAGAATAGCTAATATCCCAGTGGCTAGGGTACTCGCATAGGATTATGGGAGACCCAGATTTAAGCCTCTGATTTGGAATAGGGACTTGAACTGGGGTCATCCACATTCCTGATGATTGCTCGAACCACCAAGCTATTGGCTTTTCTGGGGTTGGTCTGTCTCTCGCTCTCTCTCAGGAAAAAATTCAAAAGGTCTCATTTCATTCCACGTTGGAATGAAACCAAGTTTTGAAATGAAACAATTGTTCCCTGGCCAGCCCTAATGTCGAGTGATGCTATTAACTCCTCTGTTATTTCCCAGACAATGTTATCTCCCTGACATATACAGCCAGTTAGATCTGGACAAAAATTTTCAGTCAAATAGCTTGTTTGCCAAAAAATGCAGTTTCAGGGCAACCAAAATTATGAGTGAATGCACGTCGAATCTGGCAAATAGTTTTGGCTGAATAAATGTGAAAAAGTTCAAATTAACCATTTCAACTGTTTTTGAAACAAAATGTTTTGACTTTTCATTTCCAGTGACATTTTGTTTAGAACTGTTGCCAGATTTGTTTTAAAAAAAAACACTTAAAGGATAACAAACACCTGAAAATATAACAAAACTGAAAAAAAATCATTTAGAGTCCAACAAAATGTTTTGTTTAACCTGAAATTCTTTTTCTGGATTTTTCGGATCAGCCACCGAATAAAAAAAATAAATGAACATTTGTTCAACTCTACTGCTAATGACAGTCTTGTCTTTTAGTTAAGAACATAAGAACGGCCATATTGGGTCAGACCAAAGGTTCTTCTAGCCCAGTATCCTGTCTTCTGACAGCGGCCAATGCCAGGTGCTTCAGAGAGAATGAACAGAACAGGTAATCATCAAGTGATCCATCCCCTGTTGCCCATTTCCAGCATCTGGCAAACAGAGACTAGGGACACCATCCCTGCCTATCCTGGCTAATAGCCATTGATGGACCTATCCTTCATGAATGTATCTAGTTCTTTTTTGAACCCTGTTATAGTCTTGACCTTCACAATATCCTCTGGCAAAGTTAATCTTATAAAATTGACAGAAAGGTGAATGAATACAGTGAAACTTGGTGTGAGGACCATCTATCACAGCTACCTCCCTCATCTGAAGAAGTGGAATTTTTACCCAAGAAAGCTTATGCCCAAATACATTTGTTAGTCTTTAAGGTGCCACCAGACTCCTCGTTGCTTTTGTGGATACGGACTAACACAGCTACCCCTCTGATACTCCCTCATTTTAGTAATCCTGAGGTTTCCTGTACAATTTGGTTCAGCTTTTAGTTAAAGTTCACCTCTATTAGATAACTGTTTTCTGAACCCTTGGTCTGAGCTATTGTAACTGACTATGAATAGTAATATACCAATGCATGAATATTTTACCCATGTGCTTCTGCCTCCATCAGCCAGACCTACTGTTTAGTGTAAAAACATTCTCTCAACAACCATAGTTCAAAGCAAGTCCATCATCTGCTTAGAAGTAAAGTAACATTTTCATATAAAGCAATAGCTGATGTGTCTCATGCTTAGCAGGGCATTAACAATGAAAAGGGAATGTTTGCTAGGGGCACTGGATAGCACAAAAGTGAAAGACGCTTTTAGGAAATGCCAGGTTCCTGCTAAGGTGATGCACACAAGTTATAGGAACAAATGTCCAAAGACTTACTCTGTAGTCACTAGATGTCACATAAAATATGGGGAGGAAGGCCAGCCAAATGATGCACGTTGTGTACATTGTGAAACCGATAAACTTGGCTTCGTTGAAGTTCTCTGGGCACTTCCTTGTTTTGAAGGCATATACAGTGCATAAAACGACAAGGATTACATCGTATGTTAAGGAGATTAACATACTGGAATCTTTGACATTGCATTTCAATATGACAGTCTCCCTTTTCTCAGGAAGAGTATACCGTCTGGTGCCCGGGGACTCTACTATGAGCCACACAGACACCACCACAATCTGTACCAAGATGAGGCTCAGGCAGATGAAGACCTGAGAGCTGGGGCTGATGAATTTAGGCCGTTGAGCACCATTCTTCACACCGTTAAATATTCTGGCTATGCAGTTTGTCTTTGTCAGGAGGGCAGCATAGCAAACTGAAAAAGAACTTCCCAGCCCCAAACGGCGTAAGGTGCAGATGGCCGGAGAAGGCTTGGCTATGAAGAAGAATGTCATGCTGTAAGACAGGAAGACCCCGAAGAGTAATATGTAACACAGTTCACGGCCAGAAGCTTTGACCAGGGGAGTGTTGTTGTGCTTGATAAAGACTGCCACGACCATGAAGGTACAAATAAAACCCAGACATGCAATGGTAACAGGGCCTATTGCCCAGGCATCTTCCCACTTGACATAGTCTTCTGGTAGGTCATAGCAGCCAGTTAGGTCAGCAGTGGGCCACTGCCCAGACCCGCAGTCTGCACAGGTAAATTCATCAGCCAAGTATTCAAAGGGCTCACAGGCAATGCAGATCCAACAGCAGACATCTCCTGGTTGCATGTTCTTCATTTCATTAGGAGCACAGGGGTCGCTACACTGGGAAGTGGGGACAGAGCTTCTGGACCAGTGAATTGAGTCTACGTCCAGTGACAAGATTTCTGCCCAGTGACCGACCTTCAGGTAGGAATATCTGCCTCCGGCGTACTGGAAATTGAACACGTTGTATCGGCCTAGCCCATCTCCATAGGTGTCAAATTTGACCACGCTGTCCGCAGCATTGGGAGGGTTAAATGGAGCTGTCAAAAACAGAAAGAGAGGAAATGAACAGTGCAACTCTAAGCATTTTTCTTTCCTTTGGCAGGCATATCTATCTAGCAAGACACTGTCAGTTTTTTAGACCATCTAGAGCGAGTGAGGTATTTTGATCCCAAACATCAATTATGAAATTTTCTTATTGGTAGAAGCACCTGTTCAAGGAGCAGCTGTGTTATGAATGACCAAAAGATCAAGGTTAGGTCTGAGACTTTCCTGCAAATCTAAAGGAAGCATTGCTTTTCCAATTTGGTCTTGCTGTGGAGGTCACCTATGAAAAGATTTCTCTATTCCAAAGTGGCATCCCATGCTAAAGCTATGCACATGGGCCACATTTCAAAATGATACATGTCCCACAGTATATGGAATGCACTGCAGAGCACTTCGTACGAGAGAAATCCTTTCAAGGGTCTCCTCCTTTACTAACATCTCCATTTCCCACTGGTTTGGTTTCAAAATATTTCATTCTACAGACTGTCAAGAACATCTTTGCAGACCATTGGTAGCATGTGGACCAAGAATCACTGGACTAGAAGCAGTTCACCTCTGACCACTCTTTCAAATGCACATTCTAAATATATACAGAGTCAACCTGGAACCCTCCCTACACTGTTAAGAATGGGAAAATGTAGCATTTATCATTTGAAAGGCCCCTTCCCCCAGATTTACAAAGCCTTTTTGACCTAAGAGCTAGATATGAATGAGCTCTATAAAGGCTCTATCCAAATGTACAATGGCTCAAATCCTCAGCTGGTATAAAACTGGCATAGCTCTGTTGAAGCCAGTGGAGCTAGGACAGTTTACACTGGCTGACGATCTGGTTCAATACCTTTTTGAAGTTTGCTAGGCTCCTATTAACTTACAAGTATGAACTCATTTGACAACGCTCATATTTAACTTCTTTTCACTGAACATGCCATTCTTTGGATGGACAGACTAGAGATTGTATCCTGCTACTTCCCTGTTTAAAAATATGCATTTCACTGATCTACATATTTTCTGAATTTTTCCTCTTGGACCCAGTTGAATTAAAAAATACATTGAACGTGGACAGCAACTGCTTGGATATCACACATTCTACATCCTCCGTTGTTATTGGTGCAAATGTCTCAGAGGTAAGTCATGCTCATAGCTGGTTTTTCCCAAGGTGGGTTTCTAGTAACCTTAGCGATAAAGCATAATAGCCTCCACCTTTATCCCCTATTCAATTGCATGCTGATCCTTTCCCTCCCACCACCAGGGTATTGTCCCACGTTCGTTGCATGGAGATGCAAGAGGAGAGTTCCCTTGTAGCCTGTGACTATAAGAAGACCATCAAATAGCATGAGAAATTTAGCAGCTCTGTAGCACCTGGAAAGGAAGTTGCTAGACTAATGCACGTTATTTTAAATCTTGCATATGCCTGGAAAGGTTATAATGTCAGGAGAGAGGGGGAAGAAGGGGAAGGGAACATTCTCCAACCCATTCAAACTCCTCTGATATCCCCATTGTATCAAAACCTTCGCATTGTCTCTTGTCGTTCAGGAAAGGGGATCATTTTTGGCAAGAGCTCAGTGATATTCAATGGAATTCACCCTGCAGGATAGAAGGCATTTTAAAGGATCCTCTCGGGAAGAAGCAGTTTGGATCTTGACAGTGTAAAATGAAGCCAAAGAGAGGATTTATTTGGAACGATCTGATTGAGAGGATGATATTGAAGTAATTATAAATTCCATAACAATTTCCTGCCATGCCTTTGTATCTTATTATTATTGCATCCTAAACAGTTAGGAATCCATCATACTTTGCTTGACTATATTGATTTTGTTACAGCTCTTTGTTAAGCTGCCCGGCATGCGCTGCTGTGGTCCTATGCCGCGCTTGGGGAATGGATAAAAACTCATGAACTGGAACTGTGACCTTCTGTGGGGAATCAATATTGTAGCACTTCAGACTGTGAAAGCTCTGGAGCGTTTTGGCTTTTCCCACAAGCTGTGGTTCACAAAGGGAATGAAGAATTATTAAAAATGTAAGAGGAAATGGCAATTACCATGTGATTTATTGTACCTCTCTCACTGCAGCACAAAAGGTGGACAGCATCATTGACAGGAAGTGAAAGTGTATTTACTGCTGGTGGGCAATAAAAGATTTTTCTGCTGGTGTGTCTGGTTATGGAAGTGGTTCCACTACCCTTGTTAGAATAAATCTCCCCTTCCCTTCCTTCCCCCCCCATATCTCACATTGCCTTTGGTTAATAGCTTTAATTCTGTCAAACTCTTATTTACATAGGCAAAGCTCTTTAGTTAAGGATGTAATTTCCCCCTCCAGCTTACAATCCATTTCCTTTGGATTTCTTGGGGTGGATGGATTGTATTTTTTAAAAGCATTCACGGCCAAATTCTGTCTCCCTTATGTGACGGCTGCCTCTGGGCTGACACCATGGGCACTGAAGAGACACCTCCAGAGCTTAAAGCATGAGCTAAAGCTTTGTGGCTGTGGGGTGGCACTGAGGGGCAGGGGGGAACTTTCAAATACACAGATCTATCTAATATCTAAGTACGCAGCTCCTCCCATTGTTTTCACTAAGACAGACGGTGACATTAGGCAAAGCCCTGAGCAAAGTAGTGGTGCATAAACTGCACCTGCCTAGGAGCAGTCCTGGAAGGTGCTGAAACACAGGTACCCTCTTCCCTTACTTGCACCGAGGAGGGGTAGGGAGATAGTAATTTACTGCTGAGTTACGCCAGCTGCAAATTAGTCAGCTGTGCCGGGGGTTGGAGCCAAAGCTGCACCCGTTGCTGTCTCGTCCCAGCCCACTTCCTGCCCATCTGCTTCAGCTTTCGCTTGTGAGGCTACTCTCCAGGCCTGGTAGTCTGTGTAGCAGTGGTGTAAGGAGAGTACTTATTCCCCCAACATGGGGGGGGGCCACAATCTAGCCCAGTGAGACTCCCCAGAGAGCAAAGCACTACCCTGCATGAGTAAAGGCAGCAGACGCTTCCCCAGAACAGCCAGGCTTCCCTGAAATGACATCATCTCCACGAAACAAGTAGCAAACTCCCAATACAGGACAACGAGAGGGAAGGTTAAACCAGTTCCTCTCCCCGCTCCCTCAGCCAGAAGCACCATTAATATAAAATCATAATGCAGCACTTAACAGCGCTTCAGCAACGTGCTGTCATTGCCACTGTCTCATTTCATTATTCATAGTACGTATGTAGATCGTGGAAGCTGTTAGCACCCGCTGAATTTTGACAGTTTATTCAATGGGCAGCAGTGGGTCAAATCCTGTGAGGTGCTGAGCCACTGGAACTAGAGATGCGCAACTAGTTTCAGAATCAGGGGCTGGAACAGGCCAAGCACTTAGCGGTGTGCTCAACTGGAAGCATGTGGCTTCATGGGGCTGCTCATGTGCTGACAGTTAGGTAGCTGCTTAAGTGCTTGGCTGATTGAGGGCCAGAGTTCTTGGCATCCTGCAGTAGTAAGCCCCAGCACTGCAACATGGTTAACAAAGGGGATTATCAATATTAAAAAGAGTACCTTTTACATATGTGTATAAATATTGGCACTCAGGCATGGCCTTAGACAGCCTTGCACACTGGTTGCAGAGAGCTACAGAAAGTAAGACCCCCTATTCTATAAACAGTTACACATATGCTTCACTTTAAGCATTCAAGTGGTTGACTGCAATGAAGCATGTGCAAAAATGTTTGCAGGATAGGAGTCCAAGTTTGTAAAGACAATTAGGGCTGGTCTATACTTAGCCGCTAGTTCGGCGGCTGGAAATCGAACTTCCTGGTTCGATTTATCGCATCTGGTCTGGACGCGATAAATCGAACCAGGAAGTGATCGCCGTCGACTGCGGTACTCCAGCTCAACGAGAGGAGTACCGCGGAGTCGACGGGGAGCCTGCCTGCCGCGTGTGGACCGCGTCTGAACCACGGTAAGTTCTAAGTAAGGTATGTCGAATTCAGCTACGTTATTCACGTAGCTGAATTTGCGTACCTTACTTCGACTTGGGGAGTAAGTGTAGACCAAGCCTAAGTCTTACAATGAAAGTGATTGACTCAAGGAACTCATCTAGGGTGACCAGATGTCCTGATTTTATAAGGACAGTCCCGATATTCAGGGCTTTTTCTCATGTAGGTGCCTATTACTCCCCATCCTCTGTCCTGATTTTTCACACTTGCTGTCTGGTCACGCTAAACTCATCTATTTAGATTAAGAAAGAGAAGATTAACGGGTGACTTGATTATAGGCTATAGGTACCTACATGGGGAACAAATATGTAATAATGGGCTCCTCAGTCTAGCTGAGAAAGGTAGAACACTATCCAATAGCTGGAAGTTGAAGCCAAACAAATTCAGACTGGACATAAGGCATAATTTTTTAATAGTGAGTGTAATTAATCATTGGAACAATTTAGCAAGGGTCATGGTGGATTCTCCATTCCTGACATTTTTAAATCAAGATTGGATGTTTTTCTACAAGATCTGCTCTGGGAATTATTCTGGTGTGCGTTATGCAAGCGGTCAGACTAGATGAGCACACTGATCCCTTCTGGACTTGGAATCTATGAATTACAGTTGTCTTTCAGCACATGTACATACAGACAGATGCTTGCATTTTTGGTGGCAGTTGATAGATAAAAATAAACTACAATGCTTTGTGGGAGGGTTGAGAGACTTTAAATCCTTTGGATAAAGAGGCTGAAGTCATTTGACCAAACGGTGATTAAACTAGAATATGGGGAACCAAAGAATACAAATGAAATCCTTTGATTGTAGTAATTAATGTAGCTGTTGATTAGATACAAAATTACTGAAGCATTTTTCACTTAGTATTTATCAACATAATGTAGCTGATGTAGCAATGTACAACTCAAGGTGTACCAGAGAAGCTGACTTCATATTACTAAAAAAACCCCACCACACCAAAGACAAGAATGGATAATGATAATAAACCAGAAGTTTAGCCTATAGAATAAAAGGAGTAATTTTTATATGAC